ATTCAATGCCTGTTGATGGCATTGAGGTATTCATTTTGTTAGCCTATGATGCCTGGTAGGGACAATATTTCCCTGTTATGAGGTAACTTCTTTTTTTCATTACAATATTTATGTAACCCATGATAATCTATTTCCATAATTATTGTCATAAATACCATTAGCCTTACACTCAATTAGCAATATCATATAATGTTTTTATAAATAAATCTATATTAATAAAATGGCATAAATAAAATGCATACTAAAATAAACAATTTTTTCATTATTTTATGTGTATGAGTGTTATGCATGTAAATAAGTGCACCTGTGTTGTACATTACCTGCAGAGGACAGAAGAGGCTGTCAGATCCCCTGCAACTGGAGTTATGGACAGTTGTTAGCTGCCATGTGAGTGCTGGGATTTGAACCCAGGTTTCTGCAAGAACAGTCAGTGTTCTTAACCACTGAGCCATCTCTCCAGCCTCTAAAATAGATACATTTTTACATATAATATTGACTATGGAAATAAAGCTACCTAGAATTTTTTTCTACAGAAATGGGAAGTAATCTGTTTTGTGGAAATAAACAAATGTTTCAATATATTATTTTTCTATTGCATAACATTCGCTTACAACCGAATGTTCTCAGTGAATCTCTGGTTAGGTTCACCTCTAAACTTATGGACAAATGTGATATTGGTTTTCTTTTTAAGCTCAGCCAAGATTCATGTGGAGCCTTCCCATGATGGTAGAGTTTGGCTTCCCATTTTCATTTTAGGAAAAAAAAAGAAAGAAAAAAAAAAAGAAACCCCTTCCGGAATCTTATTACAAGCCCATGTCACATTGAGGGAGATGACCAGCATATCCAGAAGCATAGACAAGAGGTGAAGGACCTGTAAAAATGCTTGGAGAGAGTGGGGAGATCAAAGTAATTGGGGAAATGGATCTGCTGTTCATGTCCCTGGGAAATCCCTGCATCTGATGGAGCAAAGTGAGACAATGAATAGGTTAGAAAGAATAATAAGGTAACTCCTTTTAATCTCTTCTTAAATTTTATATGTAAATACTATAAGAAGCTTCTACAGTGGTAGATTTCCACCAGGTTTTTTCTAAAGGCTTTCAGTGTTGGTTATTCCTCCCCATACTCCCTCCTCTGCCCTGCCCTTCCATTTCACACCCCATTTAACCATTCTTTATTATTTCTCTTTCCCCCTTTATATCACTGCATTTTACCACACCTCCGGGAAACCACGCTCTCTCTCCATAGCGATTTGATAGTTTCCTGACTTCTCTGGATTTTCAAATGTAAGTGTGCATATCTAGAACTTCAAAGCTAGCATTAAGCTATGAAAGAGACATAACAATGTTTGTCTTTCTGGGTTAGTTACCTTACTTAGTGTGATT